CAAGCAATTGGCTGATCGGTCACTAAAATTTTCTTATCTGTATTACAACTCATTAGATTGATCGACCGACCAAGGGATTGTTGAATTTCAAACTATCAAACTTTGTTTAAGCAATTGCTTCCAAATCGATCGACCAAGCACTCGGTCTGTCGATCGACCGAATAACCACCTACTTGCCCGATCAATCGTTTGATCGGTCGGTCAATCAACGGATCGCGTGACCACTTGATTGACTAATCATGCGACTAATCAAACAATTGGTTATTCGACCACTTGATTGATTGATCGACCAATCATTTTCTCGTTCAAACAATCGACCAATMGATCATAAGTCATTTGATAAATCAATAGGCTTAGTTTGCWGTAAGCTCATCATTTTCTTTGCATATGTATCCCTATTTCTCTACCCTCTATCTCATCCAAACCACTTCCCCACTTCATCCATGATGTATTATTGCATTAACCCTAGGCTACCAGTTATCGGATGGCCGGTTGCCCTGGCCGAACAYCCTGTGTGGAGTTCTCTGGSATCCCGAATAACTAATTTATTTTAATTCAGGAAAGCAAAAAAAAAMAAAAACGAGGGGGSGCTGCGCTCCACCAGGGGACCCCCCCAAAACAGTTTAAAGCCATTCAAAGCAAAAAAAAAAAAAAATGGCRTYAGGGGTGGGGAAGGGGGTGGAAACTTGCAAAGTGTTGTTGAAGGCCCRTTGTTGCAGYTGGTGCATGTGACTTCACACAAGCACATACACAATTTCTACACAGGCTATCTAGTATCTACACACACACACACACACACACTATTTATACACACACCACAAACACACTATGCAAAGTGTACACACGCACAACCTTTTTTCTACAGGCGTCCACACACACACAGACACACACACAGACACACACACACACTCACGGGGACAATCAATTAATCAATCAATCAATTAATCAATCAATCAATCAATCAATCAATCAATCAATCAATCAATCAATCAATCAATCAACATTCGATCCAATCAATGGATTGGATTGGATCTTGAAAATCTGATTTCAAGAACCAATCCAATCCATTGATTGGATCGAATGTTGATTGATTGACTGATTGGAAAAAACAAAATGTGGAGGGAAGTATACACGASGACATACAGGACGATGGCGAKAAGGTGATACGGGGACTTGGSGAGGTAGGGATGGCRACATTGCCGCAAACGGGATGAGGAGAACGRGGAGGAAGAGGTGGATGAAGAACGATGTAAGGAGGAGGAGRAGGAAGAAGAACAAGACTAYGGGAAAGAGGAGGAGGAGGATGGCGACAACGATCATGGCGCGACGATGGAGGAAAAGGAGGATGGCGACAACGATCATGGCGTGACGATGGACGAGGGGAACGAGGAGGAGGAGAAGGAAAAGGAGGAGGAGAGGAAGAAGAAGAAAAGTGCTAGTAGTAGTAGGAGGAGGAGGTAGAAGAAGAACCATAGGAGGCGGCGGCTGCAGATGGAAAGGAAGCAGGAGCGGGCGGCGTCAATGGACGCAAACTATGGACGAGGACGAGGAGGAGGGACAAAAAGTAAGGGAGGAGGAGGAGGAGGGAGAAGATGAGGGTCGGACTTGGTCCTATCTGTCCGCCCCTTTTTTTTTTCTTTTTTTTTCCCCCCCAATCAATCAATCAATCAATCAATCAATCAGTCAATCAATCAATCAATCAGTCAATCAATCAATCAATCAATCAATCAATCAATCAATCAACCAATCAATATTCGATCCAATCATGGATTGGATTGAATCTTGAAAACCTATTGGATTTTCAAGATCCAATCCAATCCRTTGATAGGATCGAATGTTGATTGATTGATTGACTGATTGATTGATAAAAAAAAAAAAAAAAACGKGGAGGGGAGTATACACRAYGACTTACAGGACGATGGCAAGAAGGTGATGTGGGGACTTGGGCGGGTAGGGATGGCAACACCGCCGGGTATGGGATGAGGAGAAGAAGGATGAGTGGGACGGGGAGGAGGAGGAGAAGGCGTTCAAAGGGGAGGAGGTTGACGACAACGAGGATGAAATGGAGGATGATGAAGAAGAACACCAGAAGCTGGGTAGCACGGCGTACGTGTACGCGGGTTGCACATACACGCGTACACATATTCCCGTACGCGACACGTACGCGTGTACACGTACTCCCGTACGTGGGAATACGTGAAAAAAAAAAAAAAAAAAAAAAAATCGGAAAAATCCGAACAAAAAGTATGTTATGCACAATCATATTTCAAACAACTTTTGCCTGAGACTCATTGCCCAATTCTGTACCAAACTCGAGTTAACAATCAAAGACATAAAAAACAAATAAATGGAAATAAAAATAAAAAAAATAGGAAAAARAGTTTAAAAACAGAAAAAAAGTACAAACAAACTTTCGTAACAAATATATGTTATGCAGAAACATGATACAAACAACTTTTGCCTGGGAGTCATCCCCAAATTCCCAATCAAACTCGAGTAAGAAATTAAAACTAAAAAAAAGGGTAATATTATCATAATAATTTAAAAACTATTAAATATATATATATTTTTAATATTATTCTTTTAAAATTTTCTCCAAGGTTTTGGAATTTTAAATCAAGCTCGGTTGGGAATTCGGTTATGACTCCCAGGCAAAAGTTGTTGTTATCATTATTCTGCACAACATACATTTTTTTTAAATTTTTTATTTTTTTTTATTTTTTTTACGTACGTGAACGAGAGATTTCGGGGCCGTACGAGTACGCTGGAGTACGCACTGCGTACGCGTACGGGGTGCTACCCAGACCAGAAGCAGGAGGATGAAGAAGAGGAGGAGGAAGAGGAGGAGGAGGAGGATGAAGAAGAATAGAAGGAGGAAGAGGAGGAGGAGGAAGATGAAGAAGAATACGAGGAAGAAGAGGAGGAGGAGCAAGAAGAAGAAGATTGCGGGGASGAGGAGGCGGAGGATGGCGATRACGACGAAGAGGAACAGGGGGAGGCGGCGGAGGAGGAGAGGGAGCAGAACGGAACCGCTGCGATGGATGCAAATCGGGACGCCACGAGGGTGCGGAGGAGGAGGACGACGACGACGAAGAGAAGGAGGACGATGGGAAGGAGGACGAGGAGGAGGAGGAGGAAGAAGAAGAGCATCAAGAGGAGGAGGAGGTGGAGGGGGAAGAAGAAGAGGAGGAGGAGGASGAAGCGAAGGAGGACGCCGACGATGGACGAGGAGGAGGAGGAGGAGGCTGTGTAACACTCCGTACGACGTACGAGGGGTTTATCGTACAGTCGTACGTACGACCGTATGAATTGTCGTACGGCTGTATGTACAGTCCCGTAGGGAAAAAAAAAAAAAAAAAAAAAAAAAAAAGGAATCGTTTTGCTATTTTATCTCAAATTTGGTAACGAATTTTAGTATGACCCTGAGGCAAAATTGTTTTAGTTTATATTTCTGCATAATATATTTGTTTTTCAGATTTTTTTTCTTTCTGTTTTTTGCTTTTTTTCCATCCGTACGACCCGTACTACCACATGAACCCGTACGTATGGTCGTATGTACGTACGTACGACCCGTATTCATACGGGGGAGGAGGTGGAGGACGAGGAGGAGGAAGAAGAGGAGAAGGAGGAGGAGGCGGAGCAGAAGGAAGTGGGCGGAAAGGAGGAGGAGGAGGAGGAAGAGATGGAGGGAAAGGAAGAGGATTAGGAGTAGGAAGAGGAGGGAAAGGAGGAGGAGGAGGTGAGAGACGAGAGATACATTGAGGAGGAAGGAGGAGGGTACGCACCTGCAACGGTGTTGGAGCATGTGGTGGGTCGTGGCCATTGGCGAGCGATTTCGACATCGCCCAATTGCCACGACGTGCCGAAGTCACGCGCTGGCAGACAGAGGTCGGGCGCTGATTTCGAATTTGAATTTGGCCCGATCTAGACCGTAGATGTCTTAGATCTGATGGCCCAAACCATGCCTTTTTCAGTTCTGTTTTCGGAAGCCCTACGGGTCTCACTAAAATCGGCCAGACGGAGGGGGGGTACTACGAACCCTAAGAAACAGCACCGCAGGGCCGAAAACCCCGTCGGACCCACAAACTATTTTTCCACCACCCCGAACATTGGGCCCCGCTCGAACAACCGGGGGAGTTGTCCGATCGGACAACCCGGGATAGAAAAAGGTCCTGGACGTTCGGGTTGGTAAGCTAGCATTAACCACTTAACAAACCTTATATTATTATTCCCTCTCGCACAAGATAATCATAACGATCGATCGACCTACCTTTTGTTTAATCAATTGACATACTGATTAACCGGCTGTCCAATTTGTTTGATCGACCAATCAGTCGACTCTACCACCTCTGCAGCCAAAACCAATCTAACGATTGACCAACCACTCGGTCTTGCGATCGACCAAATAACCACCTACTTGCTCAATCAATTGTTTGATCGGTCGATCAATCAACCGATCGCGTGATYAATTGATTAACTAATCAAGCAACTAATCAACCWATCGATTATTCGACCACTCGATTGATTGATCGACCAATCACTTTCTCGTTCAAATAGTCGACCAATCGATCACACGCCATCAGATTAATCAACAGACTTAGTTTTCAATAARCTCATTATTTTRTTTACATATGTATCCCTATTTTTGTGCCCTCCATCTCAACCAAACCACTTCYTCACTTCATCCATGACGTATTATTGCATTAACTACTCAACAAACCTTATATTTCTCTCTCGCTCAAAATAACCATAATGACCGTCCGTCCTGCCATTGTTTAATCAACTGACATACTGATTAATCGACTTTCATCAGCCAATCGGTTGATTCTACCACCTCTGCAACCAAAGTCGATCTAACGATTGATCGGTCGATCGGTCACCCTAATCTTCTCATCGGCGTCTCAACTGATCCAACTGAATTAGTTGATTGTTCGATTACGAACTCAAAGTTTTCTCAACCAGTTGTTTATCCACTTACCCTAAATTGATTGACTGAACGATCACATTGAACAACCACTTCGATCAATCATTCGATAGGCAGACCAAACCCTACCACTCGACCGCCCGACCAATCAATAGGTCGGGAACCAATCGATGATCCAATCAAGGGTCTGATCGACCAATCGACTGTCAAACCATTAGTCGTTCAATCAACCAATTAATGGACCTCTGATTGTCTTCTTAGATCAACCAACKAATTAACCGTCCTATCAATAGTAACATACGACTCATCCTCTGATTGATGATTAGGTTGCTCAGTAGAGTCCTCATTACTTCCTACTTCCTGACACACACACACACACACACACACACACACACACACATACATACACACATACAAACAATGTTTCTTTTTTCTAATTAAAAAAAAAATTAGTACAAAAATAAAATAAAAAAGGGAGGTTCCTCGAAAGGTTCCCCCCACGTCTTTCAAACAAAACCAGTCCCCCTGCTGGCAAAAAAGAAAAAAAAAGCTTCCCGCCCACCGTGATGGCGGTCACCAGGGGCCGGTCATGAAAATCATGACCGGTGACGGGGCCCCCGATCATCAACCCCCCATTCATGAATCAGGGTACGACACTCATATGAGCACCGCCCTCAAGTAAGGGCGGCKTTGGCTACCCCGAAGCCCACTAGYGGTTAATGGAAGGCCCGGAAAGCCATTGATTACAAATTTTGGCTTWTGAGCCAGACTACTAGAATTTGATCCTGAGGTGCTTAACTTGGTTGTTAGCGTGTGTGATCRATGCCGGTGGATGGTGGCCACATACTGGCAACTGGGGTCCAAGGCTCGAAGYAGATAYGACTTATGGCTTGCAAGCTCGGATCTGATCATGCTTGTGGAAAAAKATCAGCTCGKTTCAKYAAACGAAGAGAAAATTAAAATAGTGGGACAGATGACCAATGCTGCCTTCCGGTTAGGGAAAGTGCATGCTTTAGGAGACGTCGCAGTTTTAGATGTAAATACTTACGACGTCCTTTTTGACCTTCCTGCTCTTGTGGCCTTACGAGTCAATCTGAACTTCGAGAGGCGATCGATTATCCTCTGAAATACAGGAGGAAAGCCCTATGTTGTACCTATGAGGCTGACCCTTCGAACCACGGCTAATGTAACCCCGCGAGTTTCTCCAATAATGGCAGGAACTCGCCTTGTGATTACCTGGGATAACTCTGTCGACGGTGAGCAATCTCTGAAGAATGTGAACAGCAGTGACGAGGACGATCCAATAATTCTGGAGATGGCACAACGGCGCATCTATTACCCTGTGCTACGAGCAAACATGAAATCACTAAGCCTTTTTTATCAGAGCCTACAAAGAACGCAAACCATGATTATGAGAATTTATGGGTGAACCCCTCGTGCCGATTTCGAGGATGGTTGATTCTTTGGAAACCCCTCGAACCCTGTACGAATGATATAATGACAAAAGACACTACCGCAACATCACAAATCTCCCACGATCTCCTATGTCACCTACAAAAGAGATACGATTGATACGCTTGGGGGCGGAGACCAATTCTTTAAAAACCCCTGAGCGCATCGAAACTGGACTCGGAATCAAGATCACAATGAAACCCGTGCCATGGCAGTACATCCGGGATGGAATAACACCGGAAGAACACGTGGCCATTCGGAAGTAGGACGCACAGATGATGGCCACGGTATTCTTCTGGCGATCGGATAATTTGTTTGTTTTCGCGCCCCCACCTAAAAGCGCTAAGCGGGTAAGTATGGAACAGATCGATATACGGATATGGGATCAACTGTATGAATTGCACATGCCCCAATACGTACCTGATGAAATCCATCACCTAATCACGAACATTTTGAAGAAATACACAGGAGCGATTAGTGTGACGGACACAGACATCGGACTGTCGTAAGTCATACAACACGAAATTCRGAGCGGGAACCATCCCCCGATCCACYGTAAGCCCTACARGTATTCCCTGGTGGAACGAAAAAYGACCCTTCWGCGGATCCGGGAATTCGAAGCTAATGGTTGGRTCGAACCGGCTACTGAGCCATGGTCATTTCCGGTAGTATTAGTGCCGGAAAAGAACGGATCGATTTGCATATCCATTGATTATCGCAAGCTGAATGACATCATGATTAAGGATATGTATCCCCTTCCCAGGATTGATGATCTGCTTTATGCAATTGGGTGTGCTAATTACGTTGGTAAATTTGATATTCGCGACGGTTTCCACCATATCCTGGTTAAGGAGGAAGATCGGCCGAAAACGGCCTTCGTACTATTTGAAGGCACGTGGCAGTGGGTTCGGTGTCCGATGGGGATTTGCAATGCACCTGCCACGTTTCAACGCACGATGAACGTGATGTTCCAGAACTTCGTCAACAAGACGCGGCTAACTCAGGGAATAATTAACTTCTATGTCATCGTGTACATGGACGACATCCTGGTCTACTCGGAGACCTATCATGGGCATGTAGAACATATCGAGTGGACGCTGGGAGCTCTGAGAGATGCTAGGTTCAAAGTCGCGCTCGAAGAGAGCGAGTTTTTCCTCTCGGAAATCTCGTTCTTGGGTTACGTGGTAACACGTGGAGGACTGCGGCCAGATTCGAGGAAGGTTGCAGTGGTGAAAGATGCTCCTATTCCCACGTCATTGACTCAGGTTCGAGCTTTCCTGGGACTAGCATCGTACTACCGTCGTTTTATCAAAGGCTTCTCCGCGATTGCACGACCTCTAACAAACCTACTACGAAAGGACCAGCCCCTCAACTGGGACGCAGAGTGCGAACAGGCCTTCGCCACCCTCAAGGACGCCCTGGCAACGACACCTATTTTGATCCGGCCGGCAGTTCATTCTTATCACGGACTGGCAGCCAGAGGCGATCTTCCCTATTCTAGCGCAGAAGGGGAACGACGGCCGAGAACACGTCATCGAGTACGCACACGCACGGTGCGAGACGAGCGGAGGAACGATTCGACCCCACAGGACGAATGCTACGCAGTGCWCTRGGGGATTYARCACTTCCATCCGTACTTGTACGAACAWAAGTTCCTCCTTGTAACYGATCACGAGCCRTTATTGGYTCTCAAGAAGCTCACTAATTACACGGGTATGATTGGACGGTGGGCRGTATGCCTACCGGAGTACGACTTCGACATCATCCATCGAAAGACAGAGAGGCACGACAACGCGGACGGCTTGACACGTCTGCATTGCCCCGCCAAGGTACCTAAGGGTGAAGAAATCATTCCGTGGAAGGAACCGGAGTCAGCAAGCAGACCCAAGTACGAACAAGTGGTAGTACTTCCACGTGGCAAGAAGCAGACGATTGGCAATGGGTGACGGAGGTAATCTTGCGACTCGTCTCCCTCCCCTTTGATCCTCATCTCTTTTTTCCCTACCCGACAAATTTTGTTATTTTTGCGAAGCAATCTCGCACGTCTACTCGATCCCTATGCGTCCTAGTGGGGAGGGATATGCAGAATGTATAGATTGTCGGTAGTGTGTCGCATGAGCCCACGACTCGTATATCCAGTACAAAAATGACAACAAGCCTTGGTTGTGCCCCTTATGTCGGGTTGATAAGATCCCGACCGAGGCTCGATTTCTTGACGCCACGTCGGAAGGGTTGGAAAAGACCCGAAAGTTTAGAAGGGCTGAGGTATGAATGAATATTGCTCTAATAGCTACCTTGATAGGTAACCCCCTCCCGGACTTCCCTAAAGAAGACCAGAGGAGGGCCAATGAAAGGGCTCGGGACTATCGCTGGAACAAGGGCCGGTTAGAAAAACGAAAGACGGATGGTAGTGGGATTTGGATGGTGGTGCCGCACCTGTTCATGAGGTATGACTGGGTTAAGAAGGCGCACGAGAAAACTGCAGCCCATTTTACGGAAGCGACAATCAACAAGAATGAGTGGTATTGGTCCAATATTCGCGATGATGTGAAATTCATCGTCGCGAAGTACCAGGTCTGCGCTGCTGACAAGGCGACGATTCAGCCGCCAAGATCGATAGTGCCGACGGTAGTCGAACGACCTTTTCAAAGGGTTAGCATGGATACTACCGATATTGTGGTGTCCCCTGGACCTAATAGCTACGAATACTCAGTCCTACTGGTATTTGTAGACCACTTCTCGAAATGGATCGAGGCACATCCGTGTCGTACACGACAGACGACTGAAATCGCGTGATACGTCAACCGGTTTTTAGAGATGCATCAGGACACAAAGGAAATCCTGACCGATAATAGGGTAGAATTCAGAGGGGAGGTTTTAAGGAATCTGGTCGTACATGGCGTCGCCATTCGGAACACTGCACCCAACATGTCACAATCTAACGGGCTGGTAGAAAAGGCAAATCGGGTGATAAAGACAGCATTGCGAAGAAACATCGAGGCACGGGATCCGAGGCATTGGCCCGATATCGTAGATCACATCCTAGCGGTCCATCGGGGAACGCCCCACGAATCGACGGGCCTTAGCCCCTTCCAACTACGAACCAATAGCGTAGCTTGTGTCTCGATACCGAGCCTCCCCGATGAATCTTCATTGAACCGACGACCCACAAGGGCCGCGGTCCGGGACAAAAAAAAATCCAAGCGACACATGGAGCTGATGGAACGGTCCCATCCCTGATTAGCCTGAAAACGTCGGAAAATGATTGAGTTGGCCCACGACCGACAGATCCGTAGCTACGAGGCCCGAAATGGGAACGTAGGACCACGGCCCCTGTATAAATTAGGGGACCTAGTGCAGGTGAGGAAATGTGCTCGCCAAGGGAAGATAGCGCCACGATTCTTCGGGCGATTTTGTGTGATCGAGCTCGGTCTGAACGGGGTGAACACCGTGCGCCTCGTGCCCGAGGTCTCGGAAACCCGATCGGCTCGTCCGATCGTCCGCCACGTGTCCTCCCTTCCTCTCCATCTCCAGTTGTGTTTGTTTCCTCCTTCGCTATGGAGGAGGACGACGACTCTTTATCGCTCTCATCCCCTCCTGCTTCTCTTACTCCGCCCCCGTCGCCATCGCCATGAGTTTTCTCACCGAGCGAGCTCTAGGCGATCACATGCTGGTGCCATGTGGCGACATCTCGGTAATTCGGCAAATCCATCATCYGCGATTCAATTTGGATCTTCTACGCTTCGCGCWATTCTTCAGCACAACGGGGGTGTATGCAGCGACGAAATTTCGTTTTGCGGTTAATCGTCAGACACTCGTTCTTGCTGAAGCTTCGGCTTATCGTTGGCTGTCCACACCTGGAGTCAKCCACGTGTCGACCGTCGTCGTTTTCAATGGAGACATSARYGCGATAGATCCTCTACGGCATAYGGCCATTCGGGCAGAKCTGCGGAAGTGGGGTCAGCAGTTGGCAGCAGAGTGGAATCAGTGGTTTGTGCGGCACGGTGACAATCTCATCGTCACTGACATTATCGACGCCGGAGGGCTCCATATGTTCCGGCACGAGCCACCGGTGGCATTTTCGGAACTCGTCCCCTTTCAGCGCCCCCAATTAACCGATCCCAACTATCTACTTTCGCTCTCCCCTCTCTTTTCCCTACCTTTTGGCAATCTAGCCTTTGCCCCCGTTTCTCCTTTCGTCTGGAACCCCTCGCTGTCCCCCTCCTCGACCGAAGACAGTGGGAACAGAGGTGCGAGCACTTCATCGATATCTCAGTGTGCCTGATTGGAGTGCAGTTGACGTGGACACAGGACATCGAGCACCGCGCCTGGATCGAATACGCGGAGCTGCTGATCGTCCAAGCCTGGAGGACGGAGGTAGAGGGGGACCTTCTCGGATTTCTGTTCGGATCGATGTGGCCCGGCCATCGCCAGTTGAATGTGCAAGAACTCACAGTCCCCCTCGCGCAGCTGGTCGTCGGTCGATGATCTTTCCCTAGACATCATCTCGCAGTGTGACGAAAGCCCGGTCCCGTACGTCCTTTCGCGAACTCTGATGCCCTATCTGCAGTGGTCGGCTTGTCTTGAAGAGCAAGGAGGGAACAACAACCCGCCATCGCAAGCCGAGTACCTGAACCCGCGAATGATAATTCACATCTCCTTCTTCCAGCCTCACACGGCCTTCGAAGACGAAGTACTAGCATTCGAGGAGGAAGAAGAAGAGAACGAAGAAGAGGAGTAAGAAGAAGAAGAAACCCCAGAAGAAGGGAGTTACAACGAGCATAGTGAGGGGGAATAGAGCGAAGAAGAAGAAGAAGAGGACGACGAGGAAGAGGAGTCTGAGTGGGAAAATTTGGGCGAGGAGGTGAGCCGCACAGAGGTCTAAGAGGAAGATCCAGAGGCGACGACGAGGCGGAGAGAAGAGATCGCGGCCGGTAAGCAGCCGCTAGAGTACGCAAGTGGAACGGATCTGCCGATTTCAGACGATCCAACCAAGGATCCGGAGCTGCCCAAGCCAGAGTATGGGGACCCTGCTACCGGGACTTCGAGCGCACGGGCCAGACGGCGGCGAAACCGATCCCCCTCCCCCTCCACCTCCACCCGTCCGACAGTTCGAACTCGTACCGATGCGGGGCATCGGGCTTCGTCCCCGGTCCTTATCCAGCCATCCCCTTGACTACCTCCCCCTCCACCAGATCACCACCCGCGTCACCTTCCCCCTCAATCCCTTTCCAATCGACACCTTTCGCTTTTTCTACGCCACCCGTCTTGCTGTCACGGTTCATCCCCATCCCTCTACCCGGTGTGCCACCCCCGTCTTCTGTCTCCATGCCCTTCTTTTCAGCACCGCATGGCGATGCCACAACATCATCAAGGTCTACTGCATGATCACGGGGACCATCCCCACGTGAGAAAACCACGATCACTTCCACGAGGCGCTCTTCCGAACTTTCACCACCCTTGACCCCGACTATCTCGCATCCCTTCCTCATAGTGGTAACCGATTCCCTCGCTTTCATTGGATCATACGATATCAGGAGCTTCCGGTGACATTGGCGGGAATGAAAAATTTCCTAGCCCCGCTCCCGACTGACTCACCCGCTCGCCATGCCCCCATGTATCGTCTACCCTTTCCCGTCCCCGACGGTTATTGGTGCACGATTGATCGACGCGGGCCACGACGATGACACGAATAATCCCCTCCTTGGATTGAAGAGAACCTTTCTTGAGGAATTTTTAGGAGAGAGCCACGTTTGCCACAATGGATGACTTCCACACTCCTTCGCACGATTGCTGGCAACGTAGAGAGCTCTGCTTGTCGGTCGATTAGAGAGATCGACATGTGTCGCAATGACAAGCAAGCAGGAGCTTGCTTAAGATTGGAACCCCCTGGGCGAAACATATGTGACGAACCAATTTTTGTTCCGCGCGATTTTCTGCGCGATAGCAATGAGGGGTCCTAAGATGGGAAGGATGAGCCAATTACGGGAGATCGGGATCGAAGGGAAATTGCATCGGTGTCCTCGCTCCTTTGTCTTTTTGCATCGCTTCTTTTTGGATGGCTGTGTTCCGGGCCGGGCAAGTCCCGAGATGGCCGATTGAGTGGCTGTCGTGCCGACAAAGGCGCGAATAATAATGTTTGACGTTGCTTGTTTCTTGTTCTGTTGTCGGGTTTTAGGCGCGAAGGTCGCGCGATAAGTTTTGCTTCTTTTTTAATTTCTTGTTTGAATCTTCTCGAGCCCTCGATGGCTCTCGAAATTTCGCACTTTCTTTTCGGAATTTGCATTTTATTAAAATTCCTTTTGCAATAGGTTTAGGAATTTAGGAATTTAGGAATTCGAGATTTCTTTTGTCGCGCGTTGTTTTTTTTTTTTGCGCGCACTTCTTTTTGCGGCTGCAGCGGAACTCAGATTACTCGGCGCCCTTACTCTCGTGTGTAACTGTAATTTTTGGGCAGGCGCCATTGTAACTGTATCTCTCTTCTTGAGCCTCGTCTTTTTCGCCCTCTCCTTTTTGCTGTGGTTGTCTAGCCCGCGGGCTGTATGATCGGATCGATGTGTGGGGAGCGGCTACGTCTCCCACGCCGCGGTCTGGCCATGCAGAACGTAGGCACTCCCTCTCCTAATTTCCTTTCTCAATCTTTGCAATTCCGTGTTCTTCGCGCTTACATACGCGCTATAAATTTCGGCTGCGCGATTAGATAGCTCTCTTAACTTGTTGCTGGAAGCTCGGGGTAGCGCGATCAGTGAGGGTCGGCTCACGAGCGAAGTAGGAGGTAAGTTGAAGTGGGAGTCGGGCGACCCGACGAGCTGGGATGGAATACTATGTTTGTTGTTTCTGCCTAGTCATCATCATTGCTTGGCACTTTGATCCGCTGTTGGTATGGTATGAGTTCTGATGTTGTGTAGGACCACTGAGTGATTAGATGATTGGGTTGTTATCCATGACACGTGGCGATTTTGCATGAGGAATTAGAAGTCTCACGTTTGCGTAAGCATCAGCCCACAGGCCCGGGTGCAAGCGAACACCTCGTGTGGATATGTGTAAGCGAGATCTGAATTGCGCGGCCTACACGTGTCCACGTGCAGCGAGTCGCGACCCTTGACGAACCTGGCACCTCCAATATCGGGATAGGCGAGGAATTTTCCTCCTTTCAAGCACCGAGTTGGCAGGAAATTCGGACACCATATCCGGAGATCCCCCCGACAGTCAGATGCATACGAAAGGCTTCCACTACGCTGCAATGACAAAATGACGTACACATGGGACTCAGGGTACTTTGAAACCTGGGAAGAAGAAGAATATCGTAGGCGGAAATACCCGGAATTTCCCTGCCTAACCGAGAACCGATTGTGCCCCAGGGAGTTTCACTGTGCCGTAACCAGCGATCCAAGGTACCCCGATTACCCAACTATGTATAACACGCAATACTTCATATCCGTTGGCTTCGTCGTCATCGCCACCAATTTCCCTCCCTTCCATCTCCTCCTCCCGTATCACCAACTCACGGTGGTACAGTGGAATTCCATCACCCCGTATTGGCCCCATACGCCGTGCAGAAACTGCAGACGACGCGGCCACCGCCGAACCCTTGGAACTACGGAGCCTAACCATAACGAGCGGCGTCAGACGCCACGTGTGTGCATCCGAAGGTCCGACTCATAGGAATCGCAACCCTCACGAACGGGCCTCTCCCGAACCGACGTCACCAAAACAGACGGATCGGACGACCCTTGATGCACCACGCATGCCATCCGCCTTATGCTGCACGACATAGACCGCCGTCAGACTGGAAGTAACCTGCCCCTTAGCCCTATTGCATCTATGCCCCTGGACCCTTGCCACAAGAGATCTCAGTTCCGACCTGGGAATCCACCCCCACTTTCCCCAAAAATCCTTGGCACACCCCTTTTCGGACTTCCAGGCCCACATCCCACTCCGATCAGGAAGTCGCGCCGGGATTGAGGTTAGGCGTCACAGGCGCCTTCAGTCGTTTTGGTCCTGAGGTCCACCGTACCCAAAAAGTGCCTTATAGTATAGGCTATATTCATGACTTGGCCTTCCAATCTGAGTAGTAGTATATCCCACTTTACTCAATTTTTTTGATTTCTAACCGTAGGCTCCGAAGATTAACGTCCGCAAATGAGGAATCGGCCCAAGTGGATCTTGGCCCCGAGACGCTCAAAATTTTGTGCCCACTCCCGACCGGCCCAAGCTGACCGCCCGTCCGCCGCCCTGTTTTCCTTTTTCCAATGGACCACCACCATTTTTGGAACCCGCGCCAGCCCAAGGATGGCTGGGCCGTGTAGAGCTGGAATCGCTCGGCGTGATGCTGGTGGTTCCCAACGACCACACCGTTTTAGGCCGCCCTACTACGGCACCTAATGGTTTGGGATAATACCCCCCAGGGGCCATGTCCCACTTCTCGAGGATTTGTTCTGGTTTCGAGTGCACATGGCTCCTTGCCATCCGATCTGAAAATCTCACGGCCCTACTAGTAGTGTAACCACGTTGGAAAACACACGAAACATAAACTAAACCCCCGCTAGTGGGCCGCGGCCCCTGGTCGGTTTCCCGGGTTCTTTTTTTTTTTTTTTTTTTGGGCGCCTAAAACCAGAAAGGTTCCAAAAAAGAAAAAAAAAAGGGTTCCCTTTCTCGATTTATGCGCGTCATCCTTGCGCAGGGCCCATGCTAATCTTCGCTGTGATGTCCCCAAGGACACCAGAAAGGTTCCCGCGTGGGCGCTTTCCACCAGTTATCCCTACTGGATTCCATGACGACAGGGCCTGATAATTGTCGTTTCCTGTGTGTAGAGTGGAGTGGGGGGGGAAGGAAACGATGACCTTTGGCAGACCGCAGAGGACGGCCTTTCGCGTCCAATGGCACCGGGAAAAGTCCATAACTGCCGAGCGAGTCGAGCGGCTTTCACTGCTGCTCGGAGGCCGACGAGCCAAGAAGAAGCCGAGGGAAGAACCCCGCGCTCGAAAGCTCGGACAAACTCTGCCATGAATAGAAGGAAAATGGACTTTCGCCCGGGGAAGAGACTCACCGACATCGGCAGTCGCTGTCGATGCGCCCTTTCGAATGCTGGTGGGAACCGCTCCCCTGTGTCCTCACAAGCACATGCGTCAACAGAAAAAAGTAGAGGTACGAAGCACTCGCTCATTCATTCCTCGCCCTTCCTGCGCCTCTCTTTCGCCTCCGTATGTTTACTATGGTGGACCTAGGAGGCCACGTCGGACGCTCCGGCAGGCCCCACTTCTATGATGATGACACCAACGACAACCCTCTGGCCGACTACGGTAGAGTCACAAAAAATGGAAGCATCGGACGCACGCAGCTTGGTCCTTCCCGTAAACAACAGGTGACTGCCATGTCTAGCACCGTTAGATCGTGCGGCTCGGGGGCGGCTCGGCTCGACTGACCTCAGTCCCGTTCGATCAATCGTGGGGCATCGGAGAGTGTCAAGATGCGATCCCGATGAGCCACGCGGAAGGTCGGGGGTGGGTTGGAGACGGGGGGGGTTTGTCAAGCAGAGGCTGGACTAGACAGAGGAGGAAGCACAGCGTTGCCAACAGGTTCTGGTTGCGGTTACCCATGATCTGAGACTCGCGCTGAGAAGCAAGGAAGGGGGATCAGCACGTAGGTGTAGACCGTGCAGGTATAAACAGACCCGCAGTGCTGAGCTCTCTTAGTCCAGGGGGGTTGTTCGTCCGCAGAGGGTCGCCGAGTTCAAGTGTTTGAGGAACAACCTTCTGTTGTCGTTACTGTTCAACCCTTCCCTCGAGACTGTATGTAGTACTTTCTTCGGAGTATCTGGACGGAAGTTGGGTCAGATACGTGCGGATTTGTCTTTTTGAAATGTGAGTAGTGTCTTCAAGGAGGTGCACCATCTTAGGCCGGCGAAAGCAAAGGCTTCGTCATCCTCGTCTCTCTCGCTCCCCTTCTAGTAGCCTTCACCCCCCTTTTCATTTGCCCTTTCTTGCCTGGCTCTCGCTCCTCTGCAGCCATTTCGTTACACACACACACACACACACACACACACACACACACACACACACACACACACACATCGTCGTGGTTCTTCTTCTCGACGCCGCTGAGGGGCCGCCTCAACGATTCAACTAGTCGTTTCGCTACGGTAGGAGAGCGCGAGGAGTCGTCGGTGAAGGAGGAGGAAGCCAAAATGGAGGAGAAGCCAACGTTGGCTGGCATCGAGGTGGCCAATGTCAACCCTTTGGGCCTGACTGCCTTTGCGCTCACTGCGTTCACCATGTCCATGTTCACCACGGGTCTGCTGCCGGAGTCTGTCAGCAACGTGGGCTTGGCGATGGGCTACTTCTTCGGCGGGGCGGGCATGCTTCTTGCGGGGGTGTGGGCGTTCTTTGCACGCAGCACCTTCGGCGCCACGGCCTACTGCTCCTACGGCTTCTACTTCCTGTCGTACACCTACTACATGGTGGAGATRCAGAAAGACGCGGAGAACCCCGACAAGACCCACCTGGCGCTGGGCGTGTTCCTGCTGGGGTGGACCATCTTCACGATCTGCATGACCATCATCTCCTACAGGACGTTCCGCGCTCTGTTCATCATGTTCGTCTTCCTGACGTTCGATTACTTCTTCAACATGGTGGGCGCATGGGCGGACTCGAAGAGCGCCACCAAGGCGGGAGGCTGGTTCGGCCTAATGGCAGCGGCGACGGCCTTGTACTGCGCCATGTCCATAGTCGTCACGGACACGTGGAAGGAGGAGGTGCTGCCGCTCGGGCATTACGAAGGATAAGCCCAACGTGCGTAAGCCTCCTATGGGATCAGGGCTATCCGTCGGGCTAAAAATAGAATCCCAAGACGAGACTAGAGCGTCGCTAACTTGCGTATAATAAGATAGCCGTACGATTGACGCAGGGGGCCATAGGATAAGATTTAGCAGCCGTAGATCAGCTCGCCAGCCTGACGTAAGAACTTAATACGGAGAAGGTAGAAAGTAGTAGAAATCCGATGGTAGGGCTACTGTTTTTTTTTTTTTTTTTTCTAAATTCTAAGCTAAACGGAAACCGTACCTACAGCTGACATCAACTGGTGAGAGATAAATAGACGTGCGGAGGTGCAACTACCACGCGCTTCTGCCTGCAACAACTGGCAGCTGGCTGCAGCCAGAGGCTCCTCGCTAGAGCTCCTTAGCCTATAGCCTTGTCCACTTACGCAAGAGGTCTTTCGCCTGCAGCCTTATACCCTAAGGTCCCTAACGCAATGGATGTTGAATGTTAAATAGACGTTGTCGGGACTCGGGCAGAGAACGAGCTATCGGTTTCCCAGAGAGTGGGGTTGGTTTGTTAGCCGCTTCATTTTTCCGAGGCTGCAGTCGTATGGGACTACAGGTCCTTCATCGTATATATGGGAATGGTGAGTCTGGTGACATCCAATTCCTGTGCCACATGAGAGGGATCGTTACTACGTGACGGCTGAATCCCTGGGACCTGGGCCTCTAGCCCCAGTTGTCCTATCCATTTTGGATCAGATAAATTCTTTTCTATGTATCTATCTGACCACGAAGACCAGGAAAATTTGAAAGAAGGCGGGTGTCACTCTGGTTTTTCAAGGGGGGAGACGCTTAGACGAAGACGACGAGGAGGAGGACGACGACGACGACGACGACGACGAAGAAGAAGAAGAAGAAGAAGAAGAAGAAGAAGAAGAAGAAGAATGTTGTTCCCCAGGAATAGATCGGAGACTGCTGTTCGCCGAAAAGAAAAGAAAAGAAAAGAAGAAAGAATGATGTGGTATTTGATTGCCATTTCAAGGAAATTGACACGCATGTCGAAGCTGCAGCTGACAGCTGTCCGTTTTGCTCGCTCCGCCGGGCCTAATAGGTGCAGGAGGGGGTTCGTAGAAGAAGATGCTGGTATGTTGGGTTGGTGGGTTGGTGGGTTGGGGGCCAGAAAGTGGGCCAGCGAATGCTGGGGCCTTAGCCGAAGCACTCGACGCACGCTGTAGGACTTCTTCCAGAGGAGAGGAGGTTCAACTCTAGTTTATTTTGTTGTAGTTTATTTAATGCTTCGCTTGTAGCCTTGTAGGTTATTTAAGGCTTCGCTTAATCGGACCCAGGCGTGACATTGTTGCAGCGTGATGCCTGGTCTGAACTTAGCGTCTAGGATTCGATCCCCGGTTCTTGTCTGGTGTCTCCATGCTGGTGTCTACTCTGTACATTTGAGTTTTCGAAAGTCTTTCAAGTTTTTTAAAAGTTTCGTATTATTTTTTTCGTGCTTTGGAATTGGCACTGAGGGTTTTAAGTTTTAACAAGAGGGCTTTTCGGCTTTCGTTCCGTGACGAGCCCAAAAATATGGAATTAGTAGTTTTAGGTTATACTAACTTATAATAATGACATATCCCATGTGGGAGGTGGCCTGTTCGATTCTTGGGACCGGCTAGTGGAGGCAATGCAATATCGGGAG